CGTAATTTTACTGCTAGGATGTCTGAATTGTTAGGAGCGGAACTCTCATAATGATGTTTACCTCTATGAAAAGAATGCGTATTGTGGAAAAATCGAATGATATATGCAATGGCGCGAAATGCTCTATCTATGGAAGAAAATCTATTGAAAACATCATCATAGTCTTTGATAAAAGTGACATGACTTTTAACAGGACGAAGTTCGACCTCAGTGTCAACAGAAACATTTTGAATTTACCAGTTAGAACTATTAAGGCTTAGCCAATGGGGACCGTGCCACCAAATTTGGGGAGAGGCCAACACCGAAGGAGAACGCCCCCTACTACCTAAATCAGCAGGATTGTCCTCAGATCGAACATAAAACCATTTATTTTGCCCAACATTCTCTTGAATGCGACATACCCTATTGGCAACGAAAGTAGACCATGTAGATGGAGTTGTTAGAAGCCAAGACAGGACGATGGTAGAATCGGTCCAACAAAAGATATTATTAAAAGATATGTCAATTTCACTCAAAATACCCTTGACAAGTTCTGATGCTAATACAGCACCGCATAATTCTAAACGAGGTAGGGAAATGGACTTAAGCGGAGCTACTTTTGTTTTGCAAGTCAGCAAATTTGTGAAAATTTTCCCATTTGAAGCAACGACACGAATGTACGCTACCCCCGCGTATGCCTTTTCCGAGGCATCGGAAAAGACATGAAGTTCGACATGACAAAGAGGTGAGGAATGGATATGGAATTAACACCCTGATAAGAAATCACAAATTTTTCCCATTCGCGTTGTCTAGCCAAATACGCTGCATGATGATTTTTGCTACAACAATTACTGGTCCTAACCATCCTACTGGATCGAAGAGCTTGGCGATGGTTGACAAAACTTCCCGTTTAGTATATTTGGACCGGTGTTCCAGCGGGTTTACACTGAAATAGAAATGGTCCAACTGTGCATTCCAGCGAATGCCCAGCGGTTTTGAACTACTAGTTTCCACGAAAGTAAGAAGCTTAGCATCATATAGGTGATCTAAGGGAAGACAATCTAAAATTTCTCGATTATTGGCTGTCCATTTACGAAGTTCAAACTTCGCGGAAGAAAGAGCACCAATGAGTTGGTCTCTTGATTTTTGCGCTGTCTCCAAATCGTAATAACCGGCCAAGACGTCATCTACGTACCTGCACTTCCGAAGGATATGTGAAGCTAGCGGAAATTCATTCTCTGTATCATCGGCCAATTGAAGTAAAGTCCGAATCGCAAGATAAGGAGCACAGTTTACTCCGAAGGTTACCGTTTGAAGTTCAAAGTCTTGAACCGGTTTGTTGGGAGAATCCCGAAATAAAATTCGTTGGAGAGGAGTATGAGCAGAATCGACCCGAATCTGCCTGTACATTTGCGTTATGTCGCAATTGAATACAAATTGGAAAAGTCTCCATCTTAGAAGAAGAAGGACTAGGTCCAACTGAAGAGTTGGACCGACATAGAGAATATCGTTAAGACTATTCCCGTTGGAAGTCTTGTTCAAGGCATTGAAAACCACTCGCAATTTTGTTGTTTGTTTATCCGGTTTGGTTTTGATATTTTTTTCTTAGGAGTTTAATTTTTTTTCTTAGGAGTGACGCCTCATTTCGAAAGAATTGTCCTAGAATGACCAAGTTGGCCTGCGAATTCAGGAATGATAGAAAGTGTGACAATATATCTGCCTTCTGAGTTCCGTCGAGTCGTCTTTTTGAAATTTTCCTCACAGAATTTATCCGAAGGAGACAAGATAGCGGGTTTTGGAGGTTCTTCCAATTCCCAGAATCGAAGAAGAGTCTTGTTAAGATCTTCTTCCGGAAAGTTGATAGTTGTTGTTAAAACCGTAATTGTAGAATTGGGAATGGGACCCGTAATGATCCAGCCGAAAACAGTTCTCTGTGCCATTAAAGAACCTAAGATGTTCGATTGAATTCCCTGTAAAAGGATTCTAGGATATAAATCAGCGCCTAGTAGAAGGTCAACTGGTCTAGAATCGCAGAAGTTTCTATCTGCCAAACGAATATTTGGCAAACGGGAAATTATGTCACCACCTATTGAAATGGAGGGTAAATTACCAGAAATAGCGGGAACCACTAGAGCTGGTATTTCAACGAAAATTGATGAGTCGATAGGAGAACCTATGCATAATGAGCACAATTTTCTGGATGTAGTGGAAACACTTTGATTAACGCCAGAAATCGTAGCTTGGGTCGACGTAGTAGAAATACCAAGACGACGTTGCAAATTTTCAGTGATGAAAGACGCTTCAGACGCTGGGTCGATTAGGGCACGAGCAGGGTATGTGATGCCTTGATGAATTAGATTCACCATTGCGGTACCCAAAACAACATTTCTGTTTTGCGAAATATGATACACTTGCCTATTGACAGAGTGGGATATACCTGACGAAGTCGAGGGAATATTTGGATTCGCATTGATGGATTGGTTAGAAGTTGTTGGCGACGGAGTCGCTGCTGGTGTAGAATTTGCGTGATTTGACATCTCACGATGTAAAAGTGTGTGATGTCGCTTATTGCATTTCCCACGATTGTGTTTACTTACACATTTTTTAACTTCATGACCAACCATCAGACAGTTCAGACAACAATTGAAACGTTTGAGCACTGAAAAACGACCTTCTATGGATAATTTTTTGAACTCTGGACAAAAACGCAATGGATGAAACAATTTAGAACAGAGAACGCAAGATTTAAAGGAAGAAGCGCTAGAAGACACAGAAGGAAACTTTGAAATGATGTCTTGGCTTCCCCACTGGTTTTCTTAAGTAAATAACATAATTTTTCAATATTACTAAGTCGACTGTTGTTGATGTATACTGCAGAAAACAGATCCCTAAAGGTAGGCCAGGAAAGGAAATCGCCATTGAAAACATCTATATCGCATGGCGGTAGATTCAGACTATGCATTACATTGTCATTTGAAGCGAAAACTTCAACTGAAGGTTCCGAAACGCCAGACAGAGGCAAAATTTCTGAATGAGGAGGAGAAACAACTCTTGGAGTGCTAGTTACATGTGAAACTTGTGAATTCGAGCGATGAGACTGCTGGGTAGTATTCAAACTTTGAATTAAGGAAGGGTTTGTATGGTACGTAATTGGTCCAATTTACGATTTATTGAAGCAATGACGTTTACATATGCCCTATACGCAACGTCATATTTACTTTCTGCAGATGTGATGTCTTCGCTTTCAGCATCTTCAGAAGTTTGGAGATACGTAAGACATTGGTCAAATATTTCCTTCACTTTACTCCACAATTCCCTTGCCTCAGCGGCCTGAACATGAAGGGAATATATGTCCAACTCTTCCTCTCGAAGAGAAGTAAAGTTGGCTTCAAATTTTACCAGAGCATCAGTTGCTCTGATAAAGAAATCAAGTGGAGATAGTGGCATTGTGAATTAGAAAGCTCTATGAATTTGGCCAAAGTGAACAAGAACTGAATTTAAAAATCGCAAATCTGAAAATATCAGTGTAAACAAACTTAAAATTGTTAAAACTCAACGAAAATTGAGTGCAATTGTTCAAATTTATATTGAAACAGCACGAAAATGCTTTTATCTGTTAGTGAATGCTAACAAATACAACACCCAACTAGATAAAGAAACTCTTTTTTTTTAAATTTAAAAAAAAGTGATGAGAAAATGTAAATAAATTTTCTCGGTAATGAAAATCGAAAAGATTTTCACTGTGTATCGAATAATACACTCTTGTTTTTATGAGCATTAAAAAAATACCAAAAACTTGAAGAAGTATTTGCAAATTTGACAAACTTTGTTTCGTTAGGCGTTTCAGTGTATCGAAAGATACAGAGAATTTGATTTGTGTATCGAAATATACACAACAAAACTATTTCCGAAAAGAAATAATTTAAATCCAAAACAAATCGCCAAAAAATTGCAAAAATCAATAAAAAAGTAATTTTGTTTAATATTTATTACTGACTGTAGGGTGCACGGACTGTAAGATGCACGCTACAGTTCAAAACAATAATTATTTTTTCCAAAAAGGACAAAAAATTCAAATAAATATTTAAAAAATTAAAAATATTTAATTTATATTTTTATACTATATAATAATAACGAAAATTATTATTAAATATCGAAACGACCGAATGCAGGGTGCACTCTACACGGACCTGAACTATTTCCAACAGAACCGTATGTTTCCAAAAAAATTAATTTAATTTTTGGTCCGAACAGACCTAATAAACAAATTTTCCAATTTTTGCCCGAACTGACCTATTACACCCTGTAGTTGGCACTGGTTGTTGACGAAGTAAATCCTTTTTCAAAAAGGGAAAGAAAAAGCAGATTAGTTTTTTTTGTTGCTGGAAGCACGTATCTCGGCTCGAAGAGACCAAAAATGTTGCGGAGCAGCGAAAATGAATAAAAAAGGAAATAAAACAAAAAATATTAGAATTTTTAAATAATAAAAATTGGCGGTTTTATTGAATATTAGTCGAAGAACTAATTTTATTTACCTTTTTTAACAATGGGTGTTGCTCGATGTTGTTGGACGAAAATCCGAAAAAAGTAAGTTAAAAAGTAGCGAGCAAGCCTAGATGTCACAAAAGAGGCGCGAATTTGATCATCTTTGCTCGTTACAATTTGTCATCACTACACAGAGAAAAAAATTAACCTTATACAAGGTTAGCTTAACCATAAATAAACATGATTTGGAGTCAACGTTATGTAAGGTTAATTTAAACATTTTCTTGTTGACTGGTATTTAAAAATAATCATCGTTAATTTAGCTATTCCATGATTGACTTTTTTAACCACGAAAATTGTTGATATTGAAAAAAAATTGTTGTTTTAACAATGCACTGTTAAATTTTTGTAACCATGAGAATTGTTAATAATAACATTTCATAGTCAGTTTGTCTAAACAGTTCATATGATAATTTTTAATAATAAATTAACCTTTGTTTGAATAAAACAAGAAAAATGTAATTTTTAAAAGTTTATTTATTATTTATTTATTAATACCGCATATTTCTAAAATATGTATTTCCATTACAAATTGTATGTATATTTAAGGGAGGGCTGGTAAAGAAAGATATATGTTTAATATAAATTTTATTTTTTAACGCCTTACCGAGTGATTTTAAATTATATTCCTCAGCCATTGTGAAAAAAACTACAAAACGCCAAACACCGACTGCAAAAACAGAAGAAGAAGCTAGTAGTTAATAAAAGCAAATAGTATTGTCACAACTTACTAAAAATGTACGCACGAGCACCCAAAAAAAAGACACCAGAGAAAAAAACAACTGAGAAGAAAAAACAAAAAGATATACGTAAATATGAACACTGTCGCTTCAACAACAACAACAACGTACATTTGGTGACAAATGCATACGCTAATGTACGTCGTAGCAGCCACAAGAAAAGACAAAAAGAACACATATGTATGAATAAACACTCACACATTATTTCTCTCCTCATTTTTGCTTGTCGCTGCATATACGTTGTTGTTGCTTGTTTTTTTTCATGTATTACCGTTATTTTTGTTTCTTTATTGTAATTTATAGTTTATTTGATAGACAAATCTGATACAATTTGAATATAGCAATAACACATTACTATGTTGAAATAGTATCAGGGTTTTCTATTAAAACAAATACAAATTACAATCAAATATATTTGTTAATTTCACCAGCTTTTACTTACCTTTATACCAAGCACTATTCCCACGAGCACGTGCACTACTCCCTTGCACTATTCAACACCAACTAAAGAAGTGATTGTCTATTTGATCTTTCGTACACATATTCAGACCACAGAAAGAGATTCGATAAAGAGGAGGAGGGGGAATATGACAGTCACATTCGTTGCAACTTCGTATATTGTAATATTGAACTTCGTCAAACACAAAGCAGTTCAAAATTGTTGACCACAACAGAGCCGAAGGCTCTTTAAATTTTTATGTATCTCTCACATTTTTCCGTCTCTCTCAAAAAAACAACAACATTTGACCTTATATAACGTTATTTTGTGTTTGTAATCTCAAACATTTACCATGAAAAAATTAACCATGCACATGGTTAAAAAAGTCATTGTATTTTCGGCTCTGTGTAACATTGAACGAAAGTTCAAAGCTGAATAAAATGGTATTTGACAAATTGAAGAAAAAGAGCAAAGGGTTGCATTTTTAAAGAAATTAAATGAAATTGAAGTTAAGCAACTATCTTACAATTGTATAAATAGAGACTCCATTTTATGTTGTGGGTGTCGTCTCCGCTGATGGTGTTGTCGCCGTTGTTGTCCTCTTGTGTTTCTTATTTCTACGCAGCCCAGACTGATTTCGAAGCCTGGTGACATACCTTCTTTCCAAGTTTTCACTTAATGTTTTAAGTTTTTTATAAACTTATTTTATATTTATTTGTTACATTGTTGGGCGCCAGTTAAGTATTTTGGGTATTTGTATGGTGTTGTTACGCCTTCTTTATTCCAGGTCTCTTATCAAACTAACTTATTAATATACTTATAAGTATTGTTATCTACTGCTGACTCTGCGCCTTTTTGTGGAGTATTATATTGCAACACTTTGAATAAATGCTCGTATGTTTGGTGGTGGCTAAGCAATGATGATGAATATAATAGCTGACACTGTGCCTCGTGCGGAGTGTGGCATTGCAATATGTTTGAGGAACAATATATATATATATATATATATATATATATATATATATATATATATATATATATATATATATATATATATATATATATATATATATATATATATATATATATATATATATATATATATATATATATATATATATATATATATCTATATATAATAGTGTTGAATAGTGCAAGGGAGTAGTGCACGTGCTCGTGGGAATAGTGCTTTGTATAAAGGTAAGTAAAAGCTGGTGAAATTAACAAATATATTTGATTGTAATTTGTATTTGTTTTAATAGAAAACCCTGATACTATTTCAACATAGTAATGTGTTATTGCTATATTCAAATTGTATCAGATTTGTCTATCAAATAAACTATAAATTACAATAAAGAAACAAAATAACGGTAATACATGAAAAAAAAACAAGCAACAACAACGTATATGCAGCGACAAGCAAAAATGAGGAGAGAAATAATGTGTGAGTGTTTATTCATACATATGTGTTCTTTTTGTCTTTGCTTGTGGCTGCTACGACGTACATTAGCGTATGCATTTGTCACCAAATGTACGTTGTTGTTGTTGTTGAAGCGACAGTGTTCATATTTACGTATATCTTTTTGTTTTTTCTTCTCAGTTGTTTTTTTCTCTGGTGTCTTTTTTTTGGGTGCTCGTGCGTACATTTTTGGTAAGTTGTGACAATACTATTTGCTTTTATTAACTACTAGTTTCTTCTTCTGTTTTTGCAGTCGGTGTTTGGCGTTTTGTAGTTTTTTTCACAATGGCTGAGGAATATAATTTAAAATCACTCGGTAAGGCGTTAAAAAATAAAATTTATATTAAACATATATCTTTCTTTACCAGCCCTCCCTTAAATATACATACAATTTGTAATGGAAATACATATTTTAGAAATATGCGGTATTAATAAATAAATAATAAATAAACTTTTAAAAATTACATTTTTCTTGTTTTATTCAAACAAAGGTTAATTTATTATTAAAAATTATCATATGAACTGTTTAGACAAACTGACTATGAAATGTTATTATTAACAATTCTCATGGTTACAAAAATTTAACAGTGCATTGTTAAAACAACAATTTTTTTTCAGTATCAACAATTTTCGTGGTTAAAAAAGTCAATCATGGAATAGCTAAATTAACGATGATTATTTTTAAATACCAGTCAACAAGAAAATGTTTAAATTAACCTTACATAACGTTGACTCCAAATCATGTTTATTTATGGTTAAGCTAACCTTGTATAAGGTTAATTTTTTTCTCTGTGTAGTGATGACAAATTGTAACGAGCAAAGATGATCAAATTCGCGCCTCTCTTGTGACATCTAGGCTTGCTCGCTACTTTTTAACTTACTTTTTTCGGATTTTCGTCCAACAACATCGAGCAACACCCATTGTTAAAAAAGGTAAATAAAATTAGTTCTTCGACTAATATTCAATAAAACCGCCAATTTTTATTATTTAAAAATTCTAATATTTTTTGTTTTATTTCCTTTTTTATTCATTTTCGCTGCTCCGCAACATTTTTGGTCTCTTCGAGCCGAGATACGTGCTTCCGTGCTACGGAAGCGTGCTATACGTGCTATATATATATGTATATATATATATATATATATATATATATATATATATATATATATATATATATTCCTTGATTTTTCACTCAATTTCAGTGGCCGTTTTACAACGCGTCGCGACGCGTTTACTGGTTTATTTGTTTTCTTTGATTTTGCCGACGACAAAACAAAATTTGCGAAAATAGATGGTGGAGGAACGGGGTTCGACGAAAAGATTGAAAAATGAGATCGAACTATTTTCATTTCGATGTCAATATCAATGGTAGCCAGACTATGATTCGACCATACCTACCTATTCTTACCTAACCAATTAGGACCGTGCGACCATATCTCGACTTCCTATGTCCGCGGGGTTATCTTCTTATTTGATATGATACCACTCGTGATTGCCAACAATTTCTTGTATACAACATACACGATTTGGAACGAATGCGGTCCATGTGGAGGGGGTTTTCTTCAGCAAGGCTAGCATTGTATTGGAATCCGTCAAGCAATAAATTTGACGGATACCTATATCCCGAACTATAGTTCTCAAAATATCTGAAGCTTAAACTGCTCCACAAAGCCCTAAGCGGGGCAATGAAATTGATTTTAAGTTAGCGACATTTGTTTTGTGCGATGGCAAATGAACGAACATTTTCCCATCTGGGGACTCGACGCGCATATAGACTACCCCCGTGTATGCCCTTACCGAGGCTTCGGATGGGGGGGGGGGAACGGTGTACGGTGTACGTGACGCGTTGTAAAACGGCCACTGAAGTCAAGTGAAAAATCAAAAATGGTCTTCAATTTCCAAAATTCTAATCTCCGATGTGATATTAAGCAACCGATAAAAAATTTCACGAAAAATGTGAGGAAATCAATAAATAAACATAAAATATTCTATAAATATATGTAATAATTTATTAAAAATCCTAAAAATTGTGTACTTTAACGGTTATTTCCCACAAAACCGTATTTTCCCAAACAAATAACTCAAAAATTCTACAGAAAATATAGAGTATATATATATATATATATATATATATATATATATATATATATATATATATATATATATATATATATATATTTTTTTTTTTCCACAAAACCGTATTTTCCCAAACAAATAACTCAAAAATTCTACCGAAAATATAGAGTATATATATATATATATATATATATATATATATATATATATATATATATATATATATATATATATATATACTCTATATTTTCGGTAGAATTTTTGAGTTATTTGTTTGGGAAAATACGGTTTTGTGGAAAAAAAAAAAAAAAAAAATTATATATATATATATATATATATATATATATATATATATATATATATATATATATATATATATATATATATTTTTGAGTTATTTGTTTGGGAAAATACGGTTTTGTGGGAAATAACCGTTAAGGATTTTTAATAAATTATTACATATATTTATAGAATATTTTATGTTTATTTATTGATTTCCTCACATTTTTCGTGAAATTTTTTATCGGTTGCTTAATATCACATCGGAGATTAGAATTTTGGAAATTGAAGACCATTTTTGATTTTTCACTTGACTTCAGTGGCCGTTTTACAACGCGTCACGTACACCGTACACCGTTCCCCCCCCCCATCCGAAGCCTCGGTAAGGGCATACACGGGGGTAGTCTATATGCGCGTCGAGTCCCCAGATGGGAAAATGTTCGTTCATTTGCCATCGCACAAAACAAATGTCGCTAACTTAAAATCAATTTCATTGCCCCGCTTAGGGCTTTGTGGAGCAGTTTAAGCTTCAGATATTTTGAGAACTATAGTTCGGGATATAGGTATCCGTCAAATTTATTGCTTGACGGATTCCAATACAATGCTAGCCTTGCTGAAGAAAACCCCCTCCACATGGACCGCATTCGTTCCAAATCGTGTATGTTGTATACAAGAAATTGTTGGCAATCACGAGTGGTATCATATCAAATAAGAAGATAACCCCGCGGACATAGGAAGTCGAGATATGGTCGCACGGTCCTAATTGGTTAGGTAAGAATAGGTAGGTATGGTCGAATCATAGTCTGGCTACCATTGATATTGACATCGAAATGAAAATAGTTCGATCTCATTTTTCAATCTTTTCGTCGAACCCCGTTCCTCCGCCATCTATTTTCGCAAATTTTGTTTTGTCGTCGGCAAAATCAAAGAAAACAAATAAACCAGTAAACGCGTCGCGACGCGTTGTAAAACGGCCACTGAAATTGAGTGAAAAATCAAGGAATATATAATAGGAATAAATAAATATATATATATATATATATATATATAGCACGTATAGCACGCTTCCGTAGCACGGAAGCACGTATCTCGGCTCGAAGAGACCAAAAATGTTGCGGAGCAGCGAAAATGAATAAAAAAGGAAATAAAACAAAAAATATTAGAATTTTTAAATAATAAAATTGGCGGTTTTATTGAATATTAGTCGAAGAACTAATTTTATTTACCTTTTTTAACAATGGGTGTTGCTCGATGTTGTTGGACGAAAATCCGAAAAAAGTAAGTTAAAAAGTAGCGAGCAAGCCTAGATGTCACAAGAGAGGCGCGAATTTGATCATCTTTGCTCGTTACAATTTGTCATCACTACACAGAGAAAAAAATTAACCTTATACAAGGTTAGCTTAACCATAAATAAACATGATTTGGAGTCAACGTTATGTAAGGTTAATTTAAACATTTTCTTGTTGACTGGTATTTAAAAATAATCATCGTTAATTTAGCTATTCCATGATTGACTTTTTTAACCACGAAAATTGTTGATACTGAAAAAAAATTGTTGTTTTAACAATGCACTGTTAAATTTTTGTAACCATGAGAATTGTTAATAATAACATTTCATAGTCAGTTTGTCTAAACAGTTCATATGATAATTTTTAATAATAAATTAACCTTTGTTTGAATAAAACAAGAAAAATGTAATTTTTAAAAGTTTATTTATTATTTATTTATTAATACCGCATATTTCTAAAATATGTATTTCCATTACAAATTGTATGTATATTTAAGGGAGGGCTGCTAAAGAAAGATATATGTTTAATATAAATTTTATTTTTTAACGCCTTACCGAGTGATTTTAAATTATATTCCTCAGCCATTGTGAAAAAAAACTACAAAACGCCAAACACCGACTGCAAAAACAGAAGAAGAAACTAGTAGTTAATAAAAGCAAATAGTATTGTCACAACTTACCAAAAATGTACGCACGAGCACCCAAAAAAAAGACACCAGAGAAAAAAACAACTGAGAAGAAAAAACAAAAAGATATACGTAAATATGAACACTGTCGCTTCAACAACAACAACAACGTACATTTGGTGACAAATGCATATGCTAATGTACGTCGTAGCAGCCACAAGCAAAGACAAAAAGAACACATATGTATGAATAAACACTCACACATTATTTCTCTCCTCATTTTTGCTTGTCGCTGCATATACGTTGTTATTGCTTGTTTTTTTTCATGTATTACCGTTATTTTTGTTTCTTTATTGTAATTTATAGTTTATTTGATAGACAAATCTGATACAATTTGAATATAGCAATAACACATTACTATGTTGAAATAGTATCAGGGTTTTCTATTAAAACAAATACAAATTACAATCAAATATATTTGTTAATTTCACCAGCTTTTACTTACCTTTATACCAAGCACTATTCCCACGAGCACGTGCACTACTCCCTTGCACTATTCAACACCAACTAAAGAAGTGATTGTCTATTTGATCTTTCTTACACATATTCAGACCACAGAAAGAGATTCGATAAAGAGGAGGAGGGGGAATATGACAGTCACATTCGTTGCAACTTCGTATATTGTAATATTGAACTTCGTCAAACACAAAGCAGTTCAAAATTGTTGACCACAACAGAGCCGAAGGCTCTTTAAATTTTTATGTATCTCTCACATTTTTCCGTCTCTCTCAAAAAAACAACAACATTTGACCTTATATAACGTTATTTTGTGTTTGTAATCTCAAACATTTACCATGAAAAAATTAACCATGCACATGGTTAAAAAAGTCATTGTATTTTCGGCTCTGTGTAACATTGAACGAAAGTTCAAAGCTGAATAAAATGGTATTTGACAAATTGAAGAAAAAGAGCAAAGGGTTGCATTTTTAAAGAAATTAAATTAAATTGAATTTAAGCAACTATCTTACAATTGTATAAATAGAGACTCCATTTTATGTTGTGGGTGTCGTCTCCGCTGATGGTGTTGTCGCCGTTGTTGTCCTCTTGTGTTTCTTATTTCTACGCAGCCCAGACTGATTTCGAAGCCTGGTGACATACCTTCTTTCCAAGTTTCACTTAATGTTTTAAGTTTTTTATAAACTTATTTTATATTTATTTGTTAACATTGTTGGGCGCCAGTTAAGTATTTTGGGTATTTGTATGGTGTTGTTACGCCTTCTTTATTCCAGGTCTCTTATCAAACTAACTTATTAATATACTTAGAAGTATTGTTTTCTACTGCTGACTGTGCGCCTTTTTGTGGAGTATTATATTGCAACACGTTGAATAAATGCTCGTATGTTTGGTGTTGGCTAAGCAATGATGATGAATATAATAGCTGACACTGTGCCTCGTGCGGAGTGTGGCATTGCAATATGTTTGAGGAACAATATATATATATATATATATATATATATATATATATATATATATATATATATATATATATATATATATATATATATATATATATATATATATACTCTATATTTTCGGTAGAATTTTTGAGTTATTTGTTTGGGAAAATACGGTTTTGTGGGGAAAAAAAAAAAAAAAAATATATATATATATATATATATATATATATATCTATATATATATATATATATATATATATATATATATATATATATATATATATATATATATATATATATATATATATATATATATATATAAATATATATATATATATATATATATATTTTTTTTTTTTTTCCCACAAAACCGTATATACTCTATATTTTCGGTAGAATTTTTGAGTTATTTGTTTGGGAAAATACGGTTTTGTGGGAAATAACCGTTAAAGTACACAATTTTTAGGATTTTTAAAAAATTATTACATATATTTATAGAATATTTTATGTTTATTTATTGATTTCCTCACATTTTTCGTGAAATTTTTTATCGGTTGCTTAATATCACATCGGAGATTAGAATTTTGGAAATTGAAGACCATTTTTGATTTTTCACTTGACTTCAGTGGCCGTTTTACAACGCGTCACGTACACCGTACATACTTTCTTTTACTATGGCATTTCCTGGCTTAGTTGGATGAACTCACAGATATAGATTCGGACTCGGTTCAGCAGTAGAGGCGAGGGCCGCAAACGAATCACATTTGGATTCGGACCCATCATCAGATTTTGTCACAGCAGCAGTTGGTTCCACTAGGGCTGCTTCTACGGCAGCAGTGGGGGACAATACGGGGTAGCGTTGACGTCATCAACATTCAGAAGTTCGCCTTCCGTGTATAATTTCATCGACATACTTATCGAAGGGTCGTCGTCCAGAACGACCGACTTGTTCATGGTCCGCCGTTCTCGGTTCGGACGTCCGCGACTCGAACGTAACCATCATTTCCCGGATAAACATTTACGACACGGCATAATTTCTACGACGTTGGCGGAAGTTGGTCATGACGAACAACAACTAGATCGTCTATGGCTATCTGGCCATTATACCTCATGTGTAAATATTTCAAATATTCCACTTTCCACCTCAAACAAAGCCGATTAACTAAGCTTAATGTTTTCTCTGTTATGAGAGATTCCGGCGGTGCTAACAATGGGACCCAATAAAAAAGTGTCTTGGCGTCAACGCAACTATTTCGTCAGAACTGCCCGACATCGGACAATGCGGACGAGAGTTCTATTCTAGCGAAAACTGTTCCTAATTCTTCGAACGTGAACTTAAGATTTCGAGCTCGGTTTCGAAAATATAGTTTAAAGCTCTCTTAAGCTCCAGCCTCCCATAACCCTCCAATGTGAGGGGCATCAGCAGGTATAAAATGCCACGAAGAGTTTTTTCATATGTTGAATCCAATGTTCTAATCTCAAAGTACGCAACATCAATTGAATATCAGCGTGTACACATTTTAGGAGTGTATATTCGACCAATCTGAGAGCCAAAGTACTCTGATAGGGGAGGATTATTGGGAATCGATCCTATTTGGAAAGCGTGGGTAAATGTGCCAAACTAAAATTCAACTGCATGACGTCGTTCTCATCCACGAAAGGATTAAGGGGAAGTATGTAACTCCTAAAATCTACCGGTTTTGTGTCCAATAAATTCTGGTATTCGTTAGGGAAGTGTATCTTTTGAGCGATAATTACCAGCCGAGTACAAACGTCACTTATTTCTGATAATGAAATTAGCTTGCAGGGATAATAAAAATGGTTTCTTTACCGGGGAAGTTTTTGAACAAGAAATCTAACAACATAGGCAATGACCCCGAAAAGTTTTTCCCAAATACGAAAAGTTAGCCAAAATGTCTTCAAAATTCAACGAAAATAATGAAAAATGAGATCGATGCGTCGGAAAAGACATGCAGTTCGGCAAAAACTCCTGAAAGATATTGAATCCACTTAGGAATCCGGATTGAGTTTACATGGGGATATGATTCGACAAAACTTTTCCAATCAGCGTCAGTAACTACCAAAAGTGAATCATCTCAACCAACATTGTCCAGCCAAACCTTCGTTTTCGCTGTTACAATCAACAGGGTCAAACAATTTCCCAATAGCCGAAAGAACTTCCCTCTTAGTGTAGTTGGATTTATTAACAATAGGGTTAACTGCAAAATAGAAACAATCTAATCGCGCATTTCACTTCCACATACGACAGCAATTGAGCGTGAACCAAATGTACAGTGGGGTAACGATCCAAAAAAAAACTCTGTTATTCATGGTCCTGTGCTGCTGAAATAGGACCAGTGACAAGACAGCCAAACACTGAGTTTTGAGCCAGTAAAACTCAAAATCGGACGTCAACCATCTAAAATAATATTGGGGTAAAGATCGGCTCCTAACAACAGATCTACCGGACGAGGCTCAAAAAGATTAACATCTGCCAAGCGAAGGTCGGGGAATTGCTTCTTCAAATCTGAATTTGCCACAAATAATGGAAGATTTCCTGAAATTGTAGGCAACACTAACACACTTGTTTCTAATGCCGGAAAATTATCCAGTGGACTGCTAATTTGTACACGACAAGCTTTATAAGCAGTAGCCGAGAGCGAACAACTAACTCCTGATGCAATAACATTAGCAGGGGATGCGGGAAGCTTCAAACGATTTTGGACTCTAACGCAGGATCTATCAGCTCCCTATCAGGATGCAAAACACCTTGGTGAGCCACCGCCTTACCTAAAAGTACAGGTTTGTTCTGTGGTGTGTGGAACACTTGGCGGGGTACGCATCCAGTTGATGCCGCACAATTTCCCGAATTGGGTTGCCTAGTGCTCGAATTTTGGGATAGGTTAGAAACCACGACGGAAATTGGAATCGAATTACCCAATGTAATATCTTACCGATGGAAAAATATATGATGTGTCTTGTAATTCTTCGAACACCGACGTTTGCTGTCTCAATTCTTTACTTCATGACTACAACGAAGACAATTTACACAAATATGGTGGCGTTTAATTTCGATAAATGACACAATTTGAACTTTTCGAAGATCGAGAATAACTAGGCGATTTAGGGACATTAACATTTGAATTATGTGCTTTAATTTGTCTATTAATTAACCGTTGAGACAGATTGATGCCACGCATGTCATGAATACACATAAACCTACATTGATAACGAGTTGGATCGTCTTTATTCCTGAACTAGTCTCACAATAGAGCACTGGAATGTCGAACAAAACCTTCAATTGATTGTGAACGAGATGCCTAGAATTATCATATCAAAGCCTTCCATACCGGCGCGAAACTGCGATTTTTGAGAGGAAAGTTATGTCGATCTCACCAGCTTCCCCTGTCGTCTTCCGGACCAAATGACAAAGTCGTTCAATGTCGCGTAGATGAGCATTATTTATGTACACCGCGGTAACAAATCCTTAAATGATCCCAATAAGTGAAAATCGCCTTCGACACAGATTTTGTCGCACGGCGAAGTTAGATTATATACCAGATCTGAATTTGTAACATATTTTAAAGTAAAGTGGGAAAAGCGGAGTCTGAATCTGATTCGAAACATTCAATTGGTTTCGCGTTTTAGCCGTCATTTATCGCAGAATTGGACTAGGTGATTTTCCCTTGAATTAATGAAAAAAGAACGAGTTCTTTTAAATTGGTCTAAGTTCCTATTAATTAGCCTGGCATCTCAAATACTATTTCCCACAAGTTTTCTAATCCACGGATTTGGGATTTTAAAGACTGAAAATCTAATTCATCATCACGCAAAGATTCAAAACTAGCGTTAAACTTAACGAGATCATCCGAAGTTCTGATAAAAATTTCGATTGGGGTCCAAGGCATTTTGAAAGTTTTTTACTCTCTACTACAATGAGTAAGAGAAAAAAACAACTAAAGCACAATTTGCTTTAAAAAATTAACCAAAAACCAAATTCCACTTTTCACAATATACGTAGGAGCCACAACCCAACGCAAAAAATTATTAAAAATTTCCAAAAGTAGACTAAACTTTTTAAAAGTCCAAGAAACGTACCGAAAATCTTCAAAAAAAGAACAGATTAATTCACATTTAAATGCTGGAGTGCTCTAGCGATAGCCGCTTGTGGTTTTTCAGCCAAATATAAAGAAATCAGACTATTACGCTAGAATTTAATCACGAATAACTTTTTTTACTAGAATATTCTCATCAATATGCTTATGTACGCGTGTAAAAATTATAATGAGCTGTCACTGGAATAATTTTAACAGCTGTCGGAGGAGTGGCTTAGAAATGACTGCAGTCTGAAGTTGGTTGCAGAGCGGCAGCAATAGTACCAGGATGTGCTTTCACTCGAGCTGTGTATGTATTAGTTGTTTCGGTTTCCGTTCCCTTGTGTAACGAAGTATTGTGTCTCATAGAACAAAAACGCCAAGTAAAACACTTGTAAAATAAGTGAGATGTTTTCACGATTCGAATTCTTTCATTCACGCCCTTTTTCAAAAATTGGCTGCAATCTCTGATGAAGTGATTTGGTTTTCAGACTTTACATATCTTAGTATTTCTCGGTTTATTTTGTTAAGGTAATGTTATATCTGTAACTGTTTGCATTTCTTAAACATTTGTTTGAAGTGTTTTCAAAAATCTAAGTGTGTGATTGTTTGTTAGTTTTTGTTGAGCAAATTCTGATATAGAGGACTTTAAATTACAAACTCAGTTTGTTAAGAAAGAATCAAATTGTTCCCATTTTCGAATTTGTTTTCAATCGCTTAATGAGTTCTTGATTTCTTCCAAAAAGGCTATAGGTAATTTCGTTAAACAAATGTACATTAAAATCGGATCCCATCCTTTAACATCGACGTCAAGCATCCTCATTGTCTGAATGCAGCTATTTGCAATGCGTTGTAGTTTTAGAATGGTGTGACTTGATTCTATAGAAACACCAGTTAGCTTAAAAAAGATTTAAGTTCTTT